CCTGAAACCCACAATCTGGGGGGGGGGAAAAGAACAAAACACTCCAGGATTCCTCTGCGCCCGACCGCCGGTGTTTCAGGAGGATCTCTCCGCGTCACAGAGGCCGAAACGTAAAAATAAATAAGATCAGATCACTTTATCGGCCATATACAATGTCTTGCATTAGGAATTTGTCTTTTCGCATACTCCAGCTTGCTCTCCCCGTGAGACACAGACAGGGAGAGAGAAGCTTGGGGTCAGAGCGCAGGGTCAGCCGTTTATACAGCACCCCTGGAGCAGTTGGGGTTAAGGGCCTTGCCAGCCACAGGATACAAACCAGCAGCCTTCCAGCCACAGGCGCAGATCCTGAGCCACAGAGCCACCGCTCCGCCCAATATCACAATATTGACGTCAAAATGAACACAACCACCCTGCTGCCCCAATCACAGCCGGATCGCAGCCCCGTGCACATCGTTTATGCCCCCAAAAGCTCTTTTTTTAACAATAGCATCAATCACAAACAACGAAGAGAAAAAGAAACAGGGCGCTAAGAAATAAAACAGTTTTGGAAAAAATCCTAAACACAGACAAGAACAGCACCTTATTTGCAGAGAGAGTGGATTTCAAGTGCACTTCTGCTAAAGCGAAAGCAAACAGCAGCGGCTGTGCTCGGTGACCCACGGGTGCTTCTCTCTGTAGGACTTTGAAGCTGCGGCTCAGCAGAGCTGTTTACACAATAGGAATGCAGCAGCAGTCAAGTGCCTCTATCGTTAATGAATGATTTTTGAAGCAGGAAATCACACCAACACGCTTAAAGGAAGCCACCCAGTCCAAAAACTAACACCTCCGGCTGTGTAGCTCCTAAGCACCGAAGGACCGGTATCGTTAATAGAACCGATAACCTATCTGTGAGCCTAAGGCTGCTACTGTGCCTGTAGTAGTTAAAACTGATCGCTGATGATCGCCTTTCAGGGCATTCCGGAAGTGTGCCATTTCCCTCCTTCTTACAAACGATGATGGTGGGCGAGACGAATTTCAACGAAAATTCTCTAGAAAATCTGACACCTGACTCAAATAGAAACATTTGGCTCGGAACTTAGCAGCACAGCCTATAAGATCATTGGTTGATGATGGTGATGATGCTAATCATCCATATTTCATACTGTGCCCTTTATACCTAACAAAAACCAAGAGCAAAAACAAAGCAGTTAAAACTGCAGAAATAAAGAAGGTGCATCAAATATACAATATGCAAATATAAACTGTATTCCAACATACAATGACGGCAATAAAACAAATCAAACATTTAAGGTAAGGAAGGTGAGAAAGCCCATTTTCAGTTTTGATTTAAGAGAGTGGAAAGTGTTGCTGCCCCTTGTGTCGTTCAGGAAGATCTGCAGAGCTAAAGAGCTTTTGCAGGAGGTGGCACAGTCTCTCCAAGCCATTAAATAAATAAAACAAAAAAAGTCTTAGAAAAAATAAAATACTACACACAGAGCTGTGTTTGCTTTCAGTTCTGGCCACACATAGGAAGACACAGGGTCAGTAATGTAATTCAGAGCCAAACTATTCAGAGGTTTAAGTGTTAGAAGCAGAATTTGGATTTTTTTAACCTGCCCGGAAGCCAGTGCAGGGATAATAACACTGGGGTGATCAGTTTCAGGATTCTATTTTTGGAGACAGTTGAAACCACTGGACCCTGGACAGATTGCAGCTTATTAGGAATCTTGTTTGAAACACTAGTGAGCAGAGCATCATGCTCATCTCTTCATGAGACTGCAAAAGTGTGTAAATATGCACCTCTGTCTGGAAAGCACAAGAACGACATGGGCAATCGCACACGGGCAAAGACACCTTAAGAACATAATAAACCTACTCCAAAAGTCAAAACTAAGACAGAGATTCTTCATAAAATAACTAGGTAGGACCTCTTGTCTATCAATGGACAAAGTTTTGTTTTCACATTCATGAAGCTGATAGAAAAGATCTCTGGACTTAGCTGCACACGCAGCTCTTGATATGACTAAGACTGCCGCATGTAAATGTGGGTATTGTCACTTAGCAATCCGTCAAAAAAATCTGATGGCAAGTCAAAAGTGAGATGTTAAACTATTTTGTATTTTGTTTCCTCCTGGCGGGAGGCACTGTGGCACAGGGGTCAGCACTGCTGCCTCACAGCGCAGCAGTGCTGGGGCCCTGGGTTCATTTCCAGACCCGGGGTGCGGTCTGTGTGGGTTTTTTTTTATGTTCTGCCCATGTCTGCGTTGGTTTCCTCCAGATGCTCTGGTTTCCTTCCACAGCCCCCCAAAAATACTGGTGGGTTAACTGGCTTCTGGGAAAACTGGCCCTGGGTTCAGATACGTTTTTTTTCGGATATTTTTCAATCCCTGGAAACCCACGGAAGAAAAAGGGCTCCAGGTTTCTGGGCATCGCCTCCAGCGTCATCTGCTCACAATTACCAGCAGCTCTTGAAACACTCCCCATTAACAGGAAATCTACCAGAGAGTCAGAGCCCAAGGTTTTAACACTTACAGGACTTACAGACCTGCCGCCTTTCAGAGAATCTGAATGCGACACTTGGGCTAAAGGTGGCGAATTTCACTATAATTTTCACATGCCGGGTTCCTCTTTTTTTTTTTTTAAGTCACTAACCACGCAGATTAGAAATCTGTACCAAAAACGAACTGCAGCATTACAAGGGTGCACCATGTGGGTCACAGAGATATACAAGATCGGAGACTGAGCACGTACGTCGTCTCCCACAACACGCAGCAGACCAAGACAGTTGTCTGTCTGCTGTTAGAGGGCAGATGTGAAAACCCACCCCGATAGGAGTACTCTCATTTTGGCATCCGCTCACTGTTAGTCTGATAAAGCACGAGGCCCCTATTGACCATACACGCAAAAATGTTTTCTTTTTATTCAGCAAACAAAATTTCTCCAGCCCCTCACACAAATCCAGACTGCAGAGATTCTTTTGAATATATCTTGAATGATGCATTTGATGTAAACAGCCAATGGACAGTTCTGCTCGCCGTTACTTTGTCGACATCCTGCGACATCATTGTGATTTGTTTCCATCTGTGCGCGCTGCGGTTTCCTGCGGCGTTACTTACACGGAGAGAAGAACGAGGGAAATCAGGGTCCATTCTGGGCTTCTGAGGATGATATTGGCATTTGTGAACCTGTTAGGGAAGAATAACATTTTTTATTAGGACACTATTAAGCAGTTGTTTTCCTCTGTGGCTAGTAGACCTGATGTAACACACAAAACTAACACATAACACAAAACACATAAAAGCAAGCGGTGGACTGCCAGAATTACAGCATTCAAATATGCTGTTCTTTAGCGGAGGTGTTTATTTGAACATGCTTGCACAACACGTTTCAGAAACTGGCAGCTGAAAGACTGAGCCTGCACAGGCCCCTTTGTGGCCAGGCTGGAGGTGACGGGGCACGAGGCGAACAGCTCGATGGGACAGCTCTCCTCGACCCGCGGGCCGTGTCGGACACCCGCAACCGGCAGACGCAGAAATCGGGGGCGGATAAAAAGAGAAAAGGCTGAACCAAATGAGTCTGCCAAAGAAAGATGGCCGCCAAAAGTGATAACCCCGCCCACCCTCACGCAGGGGCAGATACGAAATTTCATTCACCAAAGCTCACGAGGCACTCCGAGACATGACCAGCTCAGCTGCCGCAAGGCCCATTTTCCAAGGTGATGCAGAAAGGTAACTGCGGACTTCAACAGAACGCAAGAGTAATTCCAGCAAACTTTCAGTCTGAGCGTTCTAACGTATAAAAACATGAGAGTGGATACAAACAAGAGGAAACTGTCTGATCCAGCCCAATTTTGCATTTCTGTGAGACAGCGAGCAGTTGCAGTTTTTTTAACCACGTACGAATGCCACTTTGATTTTGGCAGACCTACCATGGACTAATCTGAATGACGCCTTTATCCGTTTGCACTCATTCATCCAGCTGGGCGTTTTACTGGAACGGTGTGGGTGAGGTGCCTGTCTTAAGGATACAGCAGCAGTGTCTCACCTGGGATTCAAACACATAGACTTCCCGTTTGATGTGCATGAGTTTGTGCAAGAGGAGCAGGAAAGAGGAGCTCGTCAGAACACCAGCACAGCGCTTCCAGTCACTCAGGGAGGGTCAAAGAAATGCAGCTGGTTAAGAGGCTGAGCTGCAAGCCTGCTCTCAGGATTAAAAGCACGTCCACACAGTTCCCACTTGTGTCTTCTGGTTCCTGTTTCACTGCTCATTCTGAAGAAATCCTCTGTGTTGCCTTTAAGGACTTCGAATACTGGAATCGGTTCACATTGCATGTAGTCTTTTCTGGTCGAGACTGAAAAGATTCAGTTTTTACAGTTTTTCAATTCTGGAATCCTGTGTGATGAAAAAGTCTACACCAATGCAAACAACTACTCCTTTTATTTTTGGGGCAAACCTAATCTAGACTTTAGGTCATCCTACATTGTTAATGTACAGCAGCCACACAATAATCCTCTATTTAACCTGATGAAGTCATATTGCAATTTAGGAGAGGATGCTTTTTCAGGTTTAACGACCGCTAATAAAAACCCACACAGGTGTCTCAACACACCTGAGCAAAGCTGCCCCTTAGACAAAGGAAAAACCTACTGGACTCCCTAAATAAGAGGTAAGCTTGCCAGGTAAAAAGCAGCTGAACTGAACAGCTGGACAGAAGAGACTCTATCAGGCCCCATCACTCTGAACAAGACATCGGAGAACAGCACACCCCCCCCGGCCCCTCCTTGCACGGCTGTGACAGAGAGAAACATCTGTTTGAAAAGCCTGTTGAAATCCCGCTGACAGGCAGTGAGTGGCTAACATTCCCGCTAATCGGCCGTGAGGAGCTCCCGGCGACGAGACAGCCCAGAAAAAGCTCACTGGGGGCGACACCCTGCCAAATACCCACTTCCAGCAGCAGAGCTCCAGCGCCTGGCTGGGAGGCGATATTGATCAGAGAGAGAAAGAGGTGTCGCCCCCAGGAAACCAGGGAGAGGGGGAGCGCTCATCTGTGTCAATGAGCTCTCCTGCTATGTAAGTATTGATTGAGGACAAGTTAACACTGGTAACTGCCATCAAAAGCCGAGCCCGGAGAGGGGGCGGGGAGGCGGCAGTAGGGATCCGTTGCTGCGTCACCCCAGTGGAGAGCGAGCCGGCCTCGCACCCGGGAGGGCCGGCCCCAGCGCCCGCAGGGCCTCCCCTTTAAAAGGAGAGGTGCGTGCGACCTCCAGGTGAGGCCTTCGTGCTCGTTCAGCCCAAGAGTACGGTCAGACGCCCACAGAAGCCGCCTCTACAATTCCTGCACCCCCCCCGTCCCAACTCCCCGACTGGCCCGCTGCAGTTGGGGTCCGAGGAGCGGAGCTTGTACAAGGCAGACGGGCTCCGAGTTTCCCCCCGCGAGACCGGGGGCCCCGTTAGCCCTCTGCCAGCACCGCTCTCGCAGGGAGAAGGGAGAACGAGCCAGCCGAGTGGCGTGCAGGCCGTCCAGAGCCGCCCCGAGCTCCTTTTCTCTCATCTCTAACCACTCACCAGCACCCACAGCATGAAGCTGATAACCGCTTGACAAGCAAATGCAATAAACTTGCAAGAAGTCAAAAAAAAAAAAAAAAAAGATCACTGGATTAGAATCTCGCCACCACCATCTTACAGCTCAGAATCAATTTTGCATCTGACCGAGTGTGTAACCACATCTTGCAGCCAAACACTGTCTTGCAACACAGCAGTCCGGCAGTTAATCTAGTGCTTGGCTTTAGGTAAATGGAAAATGCCCCTGCTTGTGGACAGAAGACAGCAGCTCGGACTGCGGGCAGTAGTTTTTCTGTTGTCTCAGGCAGGGGCTGGACGAACAGCTGCTCGAGAGTTAAGGGAAAGGCGGAGAGGTTTACTGCTCCCTTCCTCTGTTGTAACAGTTGCACATTTTTGTTTATTAAAAAATGAGGAAGTAATGATTCATGCTGAAAAAACAATGGAAGGTGTACAAAAAGGCAAACAAACAAACACACAAACCTTGTGACTGCACTGCAAAAAGTTACCTTTGACCAACGTTGCCTACTGCCCTAAGGCATCAGTATGGGTAACAAACTAATTCTAATTAACCAAAGTGCAGAAGAGATTTTGTATTGAAAGGGGTTCCTTTAAAAATAAAAATCTGACAAACATGTCAAAGGCAGGGTTTTCTGTGCTGCTGGAACAAAACCCACTCGCAGATGATGCCCTTCACTTTCAATCTGTCACGCGATACTGGGATGCTGCTTCAGTGCACAATTAAACCCCTTTAGCTGCAGCAGCTCCTGCCCCAGACTCTCTCCGCACCTCCAGAGCCCTGCTCTCACCTCGGCTCCTCCTCAGCCAGGGGCAGGAGAGGAGGAGGAGGAGAAAAAAAAAAAAGAAAGCAACCCAAACAGTATCAAAACCGGCTCTGTTTGAAATCGAACGCATCAGTCAGGCCTGCTTGCCGCAGCTCTCGCTGGCCAACGGGGAGTAGCTCAAACGTCTCCGGTGTTCCTGAGAAGTGCCAGCAGAACTCCGGGGCAGGGGGCGCGTGAGCGGAGCCGTACCTGTACGAACCCGGGAGCCCCCCCCCTCTCAGCGGCAGCGGCTGGCGGAGCTGGAAAAAGCCGAAGTAAAAAAATGTTCAGCTCTTGTGGAGGCTGGCGGAGAAACCGAGGGCAGCGGGAGAGGGGCGTGGGGGTGCTGAATGAGAACACGCTTTTCACCTCGCATCACCCCCTCCCCCACAAAGCACGCGCTCCGGGACGACAACCATTAGCCACCGAGACCCTCCTCCTCCTCCTCCTCCTCCTCACAGGAATTCCACTTCGACCCATCCTCCTGTGTGGCTCTCCTTCCGTTTTCTAGACATGGTCGGTGGCTCACTTTGCTGTAGCACAGCCACTTGCACTCAAGCCTTTGGGCAGACATGAGGAAAGAGGAATGGCACTGCTCCATCAGCTGCCGGGGGGCTGCCTGGATTTCAGCAGGATGAATTGCTTGATACAGAGGACAGGCAGAAAACAGGGAGCCAAGAAATACACTGACAGGCTGAAGGAAGTGGTTCCATTTTGGTCTCGAAGTGAGAAAACTAAGAAGGGACCCGATACAAGTATTCAAAATCTTAAAGGGCATTGCCAAACTGAACCAGCAGATTTCTTCAGAATGCACCGTGAATCACTAACCAGCAGCCGCAAGTGGATACTAAATGGAAGTGTATTTAAAGTGAGGGGGGGGGCGTTTCCTCACCCAGAAGGTTGTGAGAATCTGGAACGCGGTATCAAGCCACGTGGTTAAGGCAGATATCCAGCCGTGTCTTGGGTGGAAACAGGGTAAGCTCTTCGGATCAATTAGCTTCTAGACGGAACAAACAACCTCTTGTTAGAAACCGGTTTCATGATTTAAATCCCTGCGAACTCTATGAGGAAACACCACGTGTTGCGCAGAGATCTCTGTTCTTCTCCCTGTAGCGTAAACGGCGCCGCCCTCTCTTCATTTTTTATAAACTGCCAATACCCTCCCTCATCCGACACCCAACCACTGCGCTCCAACTCGGGGCTCTGCACCACGACCTGCGGACTGGTGGAAAGATGGCCTGTGCACGCGCACCTACCCTCCTGGAGAACGAGGGCCGATGGCAGGAGAGCTGAATCGCGCCGAGGTTCCCTCACACTTGCACCCAGACGCACCCGGGGCCTGGACAACCGGGGAGGCGCTTGGCCAACACCTGAGCTTCTCCGCATTTTACTAAAAATGCACTCTGCCCTTCCGGCAGCCCTTTACAAGATCACTTTATTGGCCATACACAACTTCATGTAGTAGGAATCTGTCTTTTCACACACCCCAGCTTGCGCTCCATGAGACACACAGACAGGGAGAGAGAAGCTTGGGGTCAGAGCGCAGGGTCAGCCGTTTATACAGCGCCCCTGGAGCAGCTGGGGTTAAGGGCCTTGCTCAGGGGCCCAATGGAGTTGCAACCTTCAAACCTAGGAACCTGCAACCTTCCAGCCACAGGTGCAGATCCTGAGCCACAGAGCCACCACTCCACCTTTCTCGCCTACAATGACGTGTCGGCGCTTTAGAATTCGTGAACAGGCACAGCAGACTAGATCCAGTACTTTCCTCCTGCACCTCTTCCATCAGCAGGGACACCCAATATCCGCATAAGGGAAATCTATATTTATATTTACGGATTTGTTTTAATTAAATCGGAAGACATTAAAAGCAGAAATGCACACCAGTAATTTAACCATGTGACAGTGTCTTAGAGCTACATTTCCCCCTACAATCAAATGTAATAATTTTATTTTGCAATATTTGCAACGGGCTCACCTGAAAGTCCTGACCAGGTTGTTCAGATCGGTGATGATGTCATTCATGGTCAATCGAAGGGGTCCCACAATGTCCTTCAAGCTTGGACCACAAACAAGTTATTAACATAACACTTTAAGAACTGCAGCTAAACATATTTCATTTTGTATTGGAGGCAGACTAATTTTCCAATTCAAAACTCAGTCATGTAGACCATCATACATGCCTTGAAAAAGAATTCAGACCCTTTTATGAAATCACATAATGCATACACATTTATTTTTTTAAACTTTATATTTTATTTATATGAATAGTTTAATAAAATTCTGAATACTCACACAGTAGACATCTAAAGGTAAGCTAAACTACAGTAAACGATGGCAAAACATAAAGACAAAAAACGCAATATGTTGATTCCATAAGCACTAGGACCAGTAAACTACCAACTTTGCTGATTAAATTAAATTTGGCCAATCAGCAGATCTGACAGCAGATTGACAGGCTCACTCAAGGTCTCTCAGTTAGTTTGGGTATAGCTTATGGACAGCAGTTGTCAAGCTGTTCCACAGATTCTCAGTAGGAATAAAGTATTGACTTTGACTGGGCCACTTAAGGACATTTACTTTCTGAAGCCACTTCAGCGTACCTTTGGCCTTGTACTTTGGATCAGTGTCTTGCTGAAAGGCGAACTTGTGTTGCAGTTTTGGGTTTGAAGCAGGTTTTCCAGTAATTTTGCTCCACCTATGTTCCAGCCAGCCTTGACAAGATTCCCAGTCCTTGCTGATGAGCAGCTGACTGGGCTGACTGAGTGATGCACTATGCTGACTTGGCATCAGCTGTTAAAACTACATTTAGGCCAAACAGTTCTAACTTTGCCTTGTTTGGCCACAAAGCCTTTCGCCAGACATTTGCAGTATCACTTAGTTGCTTTGTTGTAAACCCCATATGGGATCCAAGACATTTTGTTTAAAAAGTTTAATTATTATTGTTATTATTCATTCCACCTAGGGTCCATTTAAGGAGTGACCTGGTTACTGCTGGCCCACAGACATTTTCACAGACAATCTGTAGCTCTTTCAAAGTCACCACTAGCCTCAAGGTGGCACTCTTGACCAGTTTCCTCCACGCCTGTCTGGCCAGTTTGGAGGCTTACAAGCTGTTCAGATGCTGTCCCTGCTAAACACATGGCACAGTGATGATGTATGACAGTACAATACCCAGAGGGTCGCACACGTACCTTCTGATCAGCTTTTCTACTACGATCTTCTTCTGGATCAGGTGCTGTGCGCTGGAGTCTATCAGCGGCAGAACAGGAGCCTCACCGCCAGCATGCTGGAACCAACAAACGACATGCGCAGGAGCACGTGAGAACTGGAAATATGGGCGACCTGCATGCAGTAAGGTGGAAGTGAAAAAGGTGTGCACAGAGCAAACCACTGACAAGTCTTCAAACTGAAACTGCCATGAGCTCCTGAAACCAAACGAACCACAGCCAGCCCTCGGTCGAGCCTCTGCTGCGCTGTGCTGCCCTGGCGGAGAGCGAGCGCCACTGTGAGTGAAAGCTGAGGCTTAATACCAGCGTGTTTCAGATACTGCAGGTGGTCTGCAACAGAACTGGAGGAAAACAGAAAATGCAACAGGACTGAAGAACAGGCTGCTCTTCTCCAGCTACGAAGGCTTAAGGTTTTCCCTTTCTGAAATGCAGGGGGACCTCTAAGCTAAACAAGTCCTGCATTCCGGACGGAAAGCGTCCTTGTGGAAGCATTAGTACCTGGAGTCTAACCTTCATGGTCAGAGCAAGGGCTTGCCAGCCCCAGACTCCTGTGGCACTAAAACATACTTCCCCAACAGGCGGTCTACATTTCAGCTTGCGGGTTCTCCAATGAAAATGTGGTGAGAATTCAGATCCCAGCATTCTCCACCAAGAGAAAATTAATTCTGCCTGTGATCTGCTAAACCCAAACAAGAGAGTACTTGTGGGACCATCCTGTGTCAACAACTCGGTGTTCACGCCACACTGCCCAGTCAGCACGATGTCCTCCACTCCCCGCCTATGAAAGTGTGCAATCGATTGTTTTAAAACTGTATTTATTACTGAATGGTGCGCGCTGGTCTGCACGTTTCAGTCAGCGGTCCACCTGGCCAAACCCGCTTCAGAAAAGAGCTTTGGACTTCAGGGTGACTTGATGGGGAAAATGAAAGCGATGACAGAAGACACGGAATCGCACTTCCGTGAGCTCAGCACTTCTGCTGAAAAGCAGCTTTGACATATTTTCACGCCATGTCACCAGTGAAGGCTGGTGCAGGTGGACGGGGAGGAAGAGGACTTGTAAAGAACGCGATAACATTCGCCTCGACTTGCAAGACAAAGCAAATATTTTTTAAACCGGGTGTTTTCATCAGCTGTCCCCGAGGGGCCTTGCGAAAAACCACCAGTACAGCTCTGCAGAGTGGTTTTCACAGACTGAGAGACCCACAGTGCTTCCGTCTCGGTTTGTCAGAAGAAACCGTCCGCGTGTCCCCCCCCGTCCCAGCACACGCACTGCTGCAGGCAGGCTGAGCAGCTCATGGGCCTCGTGTGAAGCCATCGCAGGCAGCAAGCGGCGCCAGATGCAACAGCAGGGAGAGGGCTGCTGCTTTATATGCAAACGTAATGAGATACAACAGGCATGCTTAAAAATCACGTAAACTGGAGGGGAGCAGGCACAATAAATCACATTATGCACGTACGCACGATAACCTTTTTTTTACATTAACATGCACGCACACATGCAAGCCGCCAAACAACCATTCATTTTGCCTTCGGACTGTGGGAGGAAACCGGAGCACCTGGAAAAAACCCAGGCGAAACACAGGAAGAGCATGCAAACTCCACACAGACAGCACCCCCGGAACTCAACCCAGGGCCCCAGTGCTGCGAGGCAGCAGTGCAGACCACTGTGCCACACCTTTCAACAGCAACTGATATTATTCCCAATACAGCCAGATCTTTAGGAGTCTGGAACAGACAACGGAGACACATTGTGTAGAGTGAAACCCGAGACCCTTCAGGACTGCATGATACCCTGGAAGCAACTCTCAACTAGCAACCAGACGAACAGGAGGGCCTCCTGCTTGTAACCTCACGATTTCATTGTGGCTTTTATGTCCTTATGAATAAGTGGCACTACTAAATTGAAAATCTGTCTGTAGCGTTCTTCTTTGGTCGTCCTGCATTTGTTCCATCATACATTTACCTTCATCTCACATTCAAGCTTTCAGGTTTCACTACAGTAATGCTTTCACACAATTTCAAGTAGAACGATCACTCCTGGCAATCTGAAGATAATCAAAACAGGCACTAAAAAAGCAGTTGCTGATATATGTTCTGACCGGCTTTCAGGAAAACCAAAGCCCTAGATGTTTCATTAGTCTTTCTCAAAAAGTCACTGAGCACGGAGCAGCACGGGAGTCTCAGCGTTGTATAACTACACACATCTTTCCTAACCTCATATGTAACAAAACCTCACTTTAAAGAGGAGTATGCATGACTTCACTTGTGTTATTGTTCACAATTTGATAAACAGTGCCCCCAAGAGTCCTTCAGGGTATACTGCACAGCATGGATAAACGAGAAAGCTAGGAGATGCTTTTACTGAGCACTTGACAGGAAATATTACCTTTCTGTACAGGTAGTTCAGGTGCGCTGTCATGGAAATCTGTTATGCTTCCTGCATTTTCTGAGATTTGAGTAGGCTGCAAGCACCTTATAAGCAATCAAACCAGCACAATCCGTTATGAACATGCTACTGACAATGAGTGATTTTAGTTTACTTAGAAAGATTAACATCTTTTGCAGAAGTATCATAGGCTCTAAGGAAACTGACATTAAAAGCACTACCAAATTTACTGCTCTCATTCTTATTTCTCCAGAAAAATGATAACTAAGACAGTACTTGTTCATGTATCCTCTATGTATAGATTGTGCCACAGCAAACTCAGCCTTGACCTGATACTGCCCCAGATCACAGAGAGACACAGTGCCGCCTACAGGACACACGCAGAATGAAAGCAAAAAATACCAGCAGCTGTGGTTACAGACTCACCTCATGGATTTCATTTTCCATTCTGGGGCTTGGGACGATTTCTTCGGGCAGCACAAACTCCCCTCTGTAAAACTCTCCGACTTTCAGGGTAAGCATCTCTGTCTCTCTCCTGAGGGTCTCGAAGTCGGGCACTGGAGCAGACGGCTTCCTCCGCGAGGCCCCAGCGGAGCCTGGACCACAGCCACCGACGCCCAGCTCCTCCGGGAGCTCCGCCAGGTCATCCTCGTCCAGCTCTTCCTCCTCCTCCTCCTCCTCTCGAGCCGCGTGGGCTGGGGCCTCTGGCGTCCGCTGTTCATAATCTGGCCCGTACAAGAACCTCAGGGTCTCTTCCGTCTTCCACTCCTGCAGGGTCCTCCTCAAAGTCTGCAGCAGGCTGGTCTTGAGGACGACCCGAGACGCACCCCCGCCCGGTTTCTGGTCTTTCAGGAGACCCCTGAGGCCCTCGGCTGCCCTCTTACTGACCCCCACCCTGGTGATGCCAGCCTGGGGCTCAGGAGCGTCGTCTCTCAGCTTGTTCCCGGTGCCTGGTTCCTCCGCACCCCTATCCCGCTGGCAGCGCCCGGCGGAGGTGCCTTCATCACCCTCGCTGGCTATCCTGCACTTCCTCAAACCCCCAGAGGCTTCCTCCACCGTGCCCTGGCCCATCCTGCCCCGCCCCTCTACTCTCTTGGGACCCCACCCCCCGCCGCTGCCGGTGGGCGGGGCGACCCCGCCCCTCGGCCCCGCCCCCTCCGCGGGCACGATGCTGGACACGAACTCCTGCTCCGCGTCGCTGCTGCCGCTCTCGCCGCCCGGCGGGTCCCGCTCCTCCTCGGGCTGGGGGGTTTCGATCTCGGACAGCCGGACGGGCTCGGCGGCGATCCTCACCTCCTCTCCCGAGCTGCCGCTGAGCACGGGGGGACAGAATGAGATTAATGAATGACTGGTTTTATTAAGGCAGGCACTTGTATTCCAGGCACCCGGACAGTTTTAAGACCATAGGCTCTGTGCAGGTAATATGACAGTAACGATTCTAATCACTAATGTGCACAGCATTGAAGACCAGTGCATCTGCACCAGATCTGCGAACGCCAAACTAAAGTGCTTCTGCAACACAACTGTCATACGAGCGGGTAAAAAATACCCATTAGACCGCCTATTTCTCCAACAGATTGTCAGGGGTTGAGCGTCGCACCGCGTCCAAGAGGATCAGCTAAATTGCAGTTACACAGACGCGACTGAAGGCTCTCCTAGATCACCCCACTGTTCTCCAAACTTCCCATTAAAAGGTGCGAAAGGCAAAAAGAAAAAATGAAGTTGCAACACGTGAAGCCCATGGAAAATGTACCAAGAACAGGCCGTGCGCTACGGCAGCAGACCAGTATTCCCAGTCACGGACAAGCTGTCGGGATTAGGAGATGAAGGCAGTTTGCGAGCTGCGGCCGCCTACACACTCCCTCTCCTCTGTCACCGGACGTTTTTTTTCCCCATTTTCAAAGTTCCGAAAACTGTTAAAAAAACAAATCACCACCCCCCAATGAAAAGCACGAAAGCAAACACACAGCATGAGGTAACCGGCTGCCAGCGACGTGTTTGCCTTGCGGTTTGGCCGCCGAGGGCTGTCATCGCTGGGCAATAGCGCGGAGCGCCGCCCGCTCAATCCAACAGTTCAAACACGCCTCTCCTCCCATTCACCGGCAAATCTGGACGCGTATCCGAAAGCTCCCCGATCAAAAAAAGCAAAATCGGCTTTGTGTACAAGCGGGGCGCCACAGGAAGCCCGTGCTTGCTGTCGATATAGTGTTACACGGACGCCCGGGCCAGCTCAGCAGCTGAGGCACCTCGTCACGTTCCGGCGGCAGGGCGCATCGCTGTAACTCAATACTCTGCGATTCTCCTCTGCTCCAAACGCAGTTTTTCTTCATTTATTCGTTGTTTGTCCCCCCACCCCACCCCAGCTCACTGACTGGTAGCTCCCTTCGAAACGGGGGACGGCGGCTGGGGGAACGGGTCATGTCCCTCCGAGTTTCGCACCATTTCGCGGCCATGTGCGTAAATATCTGCCCCGTGTGAGATCTGTTCACGCTGCTCATGTTTATGAGGAACTAAACTCTTGACAGTATGCCGCAAAGAAACGCAAAAATATCGACCAAGTCGGACGCCACTGAAAGCTCGCGATTTCCGGCAGTGCCGACAGCGTCGCCGAGCAATCCGAGAGGTATTGAACAGTATTACCGAGGTGATTGATAAAAGCGGGACCGGTTCGTGCGGCCGGAGGCGTCACTTTCGCCCAGGCCGCCGTTTCCATTTTAGAGCTCGGCGCGGAGTCTCGGTAGAACCGCACAACCGAGCCCCTTTAAAACAAGTGGAGCATTCCTTGTTCGATCAGACAGTCGGTTCAGGCAGCAGTGTTTTGCAACATTTTGAAAAGTACACTCACCTGAATCTCTTTTTGGAGTTGCGTTTCACGCCGTTTCACATTACACAGGGAAGTGGCCTCTCCAGTATGACCTCCACAGTAACAGGTTAAAATAGTCGACATACAGATTCATACTGCAGCCCTCAGAATAACTAGGTAACCAAAATGTTTCTTCTGACCGCCCCAGTACTTCCTCTCCCCTGACAGGAACAAAAGCGAGCTCTTAAATACATACCTCTCGCCCTGCTTCATTAATGTGACATCTGGGAAGCTACAACACAAAACGGAAAGGGTAAATAAGTTACTTCCGTTCAGCCATGAAACCAGGCAGCTTATATGCCAGCAGAGGGGAAACTGGCTTTGCAACAGGAGAAGGATGAGCTTTGAACTGAAACTGCAGGAGCAGTTATGGATCCGAGCTCATAACTGCAAGGCTTCAGCCTCTGCAGTTTCCTGAAACAAGATTTCTAGGTTCAAACCTTGGATGAGGCATTGAGGTCTGTGTGCGAGGCCTCTCACTTGGATTGTGAGAGTAAGCCACCAAGCTGTATCAATGAGTATAAAACTCGTTCTCTTTGCATAAAACCATCAGATAACCTAAATCAGAAGAAATCCCAAAGTACCACAACTGTTCCGGCAACAAAATGATGCCTTATGACGAAGGCCCTTTGACTGAAACACTGTTGAATTCGTCTTAGTTTTCAAAAACCTCTCCACTACAACATCACAATTCTGCACCTCTCAATGTAATGGTTTTGGGTAGCCTTGAGGTTTGTCAAACTGATCACAGATATAGAACCCGTCGATCAAAAAAAGAGAAGATCAACGGAAACAAAAGTACGATATCAGTGGTGTGGTTGACAATGACGATGACAAAATGCTATTAAACAGCAAAAAGCTGCTCTATCAATAAGAGCTGATGCATATCTATACAAGTAAGACACAGTGGAGCCTTCTGTCAGTCACTTGATCCCAGAGAAGGCCAAGGTTACTTTCTTAAAAACCGTTGAAAGGTAACAAATGAGAGGCCACTCGGCCCATCTTGCCTGTTGGACAGGGATTGACCCCGTCCATCTGCCTCGTGAAAGAAACTGGGGCGTTGGCACAACGACATGGCTGGGTAGCTGGTTCCACACCCACCCAAATCTGTGGAATAAAGAAGCACGTCTTTCTTGCACCGTGCTGCTGCCATTACCTCTCCTCTTCTCGCGACCACAGGGGAGTCTTGGGGATCTGGCCTTCGAAATACTTTGATGCTTTGTAACAAAAGTTACTGCAGAAACACTGAATGGGGGGAAAAAAAACAACTGTGTATCAAAACACAGGTCACACTTACATAGCAATTTATTTAAAAAAAATCATCCTTTATTTTCAGATACTTTCTGCAGCTTTTAGTGAAAGGAGACAAGAGGTGTTGCTCCCATTTCTTGCTGGAGAATCCAAAGTCTTTCACCTCCGAACTAAGAGGGGAGCACAAGACAGCACAAAGAGAGCGTCACGCACTCTTCAAGCACAGGACACAGGAGAGAACTCCGCTGTGTGTTCTAGAGTTGTCAAATCCACAAAGATTATGACAAAAAGCCACCCAAAACATTCTGCCGGAGTATTTTTTATTAAAAAAATCAAAACAAAATAAAGCACCTTACCTTCCGTTCTGTGATGTCATACACTTTATTCGTTCTGGTTGAAATTTTGTACTGCTGCTTGGGAACCTGTCATTATGAAAAAAGAAGATACATATATAGAGATTTGACAAAAGGGGATTTTAGAAGACGAACACATTTCTGGTAAACAAAAGAGACAATGTTTAATGTCTCATAGATGTGTCTGAGCAGTGTGAGGTCTTACGTTCACAAGTTTGTTCTGACAGACAGGGTAGCCACACAGCTTGACTATAGATCTCTCGTCCACGACGTCTCTGTAGTTTCCTGGAGTAATGGACTTTGCCTGGAATGATAAATAGTGACCCATTAGGCAGACGGGCAGCAATTTTGCACTACATTACACACACTGCTCCAGATGCGTCTGTGCCACAGCTGTAGTGCAGGTCCGTTGGCCGCAGCTGGTAAACCTGACCTCCCCTCTGTGCTGATGTACCGAATCTGTGATGCACTCTCCGAGAGCGAAGGTCAGCCTAAACAGAGGCCAACAGACGGGGTGCGGAAGCCCTGCGGCCCCAGGCGAGCGACTCTCATCTTTTCATCCGGTCCGCTTCGGGAATCGGCCTCCCGCCACCTCGGATCTGAGCGCCATCACGCTCCCCACTCCCCCTCCCTCCGCCCCTCGCGCCCGGAGCAGCGTGGGGCGGGAACGTGGAGGCGGCCCCCTGCTCCAACCCCACGCTCCTCGCGGCGCCTGTCCGCTGCGAGCCCGGGCCCCAGGGGGAGCCGAGGGCAGAGCGAGGCAGCGCGCGGCCCCCCGGGGAGGACACCCACGCAGCCCAGCAGGAAGTCCTCTGTCACGCTGTCCTCCAGCAGCTCCTCCACCAGGCGCAGGGCCCTCTGCTCCAGCTGCAGCTTCCTCCTCACGGCCTCCTTCAGGGCCTCCTTCCTGCGCGGGGTCAAAGGAAGGGGCTGTAAACCGAGGCCCAGGCTGGCTCAGGTACGACCGCTTCATCGCAAGGTATGGAGGGTGGGAAACAGTGTGAAACACGGTGCGGTTGAAACGAAATGGTTCTATTTCTGAGCCACCGAGTGCGGCTTTCATGTAGCAATGGTTATATCTGGAAATGAACGAAACAGACGAAATAACTTCACACTGAACCGGGAGCCCGTGGAAGAACAATGGACATAAGACTGAGGGAAAGGAAGTAGGAGCCCCTTGAGGTACTGACTGTCAGAATGGGTCCCATTTCTGCTCAGTTTAAAAGTTTTCAGGTTTTTCACGTTGCTGTCATGTCCCAACACTGCACAAGCCCCGCAGTCCAGTACCTTTTAGCAGCTTCCAAGGCTGTCTGCGCCTTGACCGCTGTCCGACCTGCAAAACACACGCATTGGGTCACTGCTAACGGACCGGCCAAGCGCTCACACCTCCGCGGACGCGCCCTGCTGAGCACGGCCACGTGTTCCCGTCAATAATCAGGGAACAGAAGACCGTTCACTGTACGCGTCACGTCCGGATCAGCTGTGAAGGGCGTGCTGTGCGCCCGCGGGCTTTCGCGGAGGAGCTGCAACGCTGCCTTTAAGGTTGAACTCCAAGGCTCAGTTCAAAGGTCGCTACGAGGGGTAACACGTGTAAGAAACAAGACCTCTAGCACAATTCACGCACCCAGGAATGTGCTCTGCTTCGGTGTTTCGACAGTGGTCTACAGAAAAACGAAAACCTTATTTATACCTTCGGCTTCAGACAGAGAAACGGCGCACTCTGTGCTCCAGAAGGGGGTGTACTGAGCGGGGCAGTATTTCAACCCGTCCCTCTTAATCACTGAGCTCCCAGTGCCTGATGTGGCAGAGGTGAACAGCACAGGGGAGGGAGGGGGGAATAAAACTCTACATTAAGCCGACTAACCTTTCTTTCCAGGTCCCGCTGACCTGCCGGCTGCTCCCCGACACTCTTCCATGCTTGTTGTTCTTCCGCTTCACCTTTGACCCGTGACGTAGGGCGCTACGGCTCGCGGACAGGGCCAGCGCCGGCGCGCGCACTTCCTAAATACACGCGCCGCTCCTGCCTGTCTGTAAGTACAGCGCCTTGCACAGAGCAACACCGTGTCTCTGCTCTCTGTCTGCTACACGATGGGTAATAATAGCTGGTAGTCAAATTAGATCATCAGTCACGCATGTGTCCGGGAAAGACAGAGGTCTGTCGTTTTGATACAGTTGCCCTGCCATGACAGCGCTTCTTTGTTTTGGTCTTTCGCGCAGCATCATGAAAATGTGGCGACATGCATTCATGATATTTTTATCGTCCAGGATAATTAGGCGCAAATAAATCGTTCAGCTGTTTTTAGCCCATAGCCACGTGGTTGGCAGACTTTCGCAGACTTTGACGTGCATTCCAGACGCGAACTACGATCATCATGCTTTTCCACTTAAGGAGAGCTTGCTAAATATTCAGTCGTTGTGAGTTGTGTGAAGTGACTTGTTGTCTGTAACTGTTTGCAAATAATTGCTCTTTTCTAGATGTTTCTGGGGACACCGGGGACAGCTATTAGTCCATCTTTAGGACAGGCAGTGCTGCTCCGTGCTCGGTAAATCCTATTAATCCGCACACAATAGAAGGCAACACAGTAAGAGGTTTAAGACCTCTCTGCTGACCTTGTCGGTACCGGCTTTGCTTTCTGTAGACAGATTACCTGGGAATCGCCCGCAAGAGTAAAAAAACTTTTAACAAATATCAGGGAAAAAGAAAGACGGCGCTGATTAAAATGTGGTGTCTTGTACTTCTTTTATCAAACTATCGGAAGGAATAGGATAGGAAACTCTCCTCAGTTCAGAGGTCAAGACAGCTAACGTGCGTTGGCATGATTTGGCTTAAAACGTGTGACTGGGATCCACTAGGGGCAGTGCTGTGGGAATAAGGGTATGGTGGGGTTAGTCGACTCTCGGTGACCCCGCGACCCCTGTGACCTCCCAGGTGCAGTTGTTGGGGGACACGTCCCCCCAGAGATTGCTGCTGAACCTCAGATATAGGGCTGTGCTGCTTGTACCCTGTTATAAACGCACAATTACATAAATCCACATCAGGGTGTCCAAGATCACTGGCGGTTATCATTTTACAAATGTCTGATGTTTACATTTCAATTTCAGTTCACACCAAGACACGGTTCGAGTTGGGAGGTATTTCAGGCACCTGAAATACTGTTCAGCATGACTGTTCAGCATGTACGTCCAATCCCCCTCAAATGACACGCCTGTCCACGTTTCAGGACAGCTGGCATGCGTTGACCAAATGTGGCTTAAAGTTTGCGTTGAGCTCTGTGGTCACGGGTTCGAACCCGAGTTTCAAATGTCTCTTTTTAAACCCTGTAGGTGCTGGCACTGAGGGGGGCACCTGGACCTCAAGACGCTGAAGATGGCCTTAGAGCAGCTATATGACATGTTGCAGAGATGTGTAAGTACCGGCAATGAAGCGGTTCAGTAGTAATAGCTTTCACTGCTGAAAATAACTTTTTAAAAACTTTTCCCAGCCGTTTGCTTCAGTACCTGCTATTGATAAGATTCACTCAATAATTCCACCAAAGGAAACCTCTCAAAACTCTTAATTTCAAGATTTGGGATGACTCTTCTATGTCTGCATAAGTCGATGTGCTGCTAATTTGGTGCTCCTCCAGCTTTACACCCTCCCTGCCTGCTCCCTGTCTGCAGCAGGTGCTGGCTGACGACAGCTTCAAGCCGGAAGACTACGAGCAGTTCCAGAGCGCGGGCCGGGCCTGTCTGGAGCGAGGGGGCGCGGCACAAGTGCTGGAGGTCGTGCAGGATGAGAAAAACAAGGTCCGCCTGCACATGCCGAGCTGAATGGTGCACGTTACGTCCAACTCCCGAGCAATACCGAAACAGAGCTCTGACAGCACTGGGAGCAAGGCTTTCAAGATGTCCCCACCAAAATAGCTTGAAGGGGAGGAAAGCACATGGCTGCTCGGTACTTGTAGTGTCCCCTGAAGATTTCGGGTTCTAACAGAAAGGCATAAGAGCGCAGCACCTAGGCTTTGCTGCAGGGTTTAAGAACTGTTCCATGTGCCTGGCAGTGAGAGCCACAGCCTGCGCCATGGCTGTTACACCCTGCTGTTGATCCTGAGGTGCCAGCGGAGAGCTGCAGGAGAGTGTCTGATTTCTCGCTCCACTGGTGTCCTTCAAGGGTGCTCCAGTGTTAAACGGTTTTCTTGTATTTAAACTGCCTGGTGTTCTAATACTGGCTGTCTGCCTTTCACAAAGGAGCAGATGCTTTTAAAAGGCACATTTTCAAAATCCAATTGCTTCAGAGCACAAATCAGAGGTCTCTTAAAACACCAGGCTGTAATGGTAAGTCACTTATAAAAATGAGAAACGTCACATATGGCAGTGGATTGATTTATATTGAACGAGCAAGATTTTTGGTTTTCTGGAAACATCTTGCACATCAGAGGAGAGAATTAAAACCTGTGCCGCTGCTGTAGCAGGTGGGCTTGCAGCTTGTGAAGGGGAAACAATAGCAGGGAGACGCTGGATTTCTGAGCAGGGCTGAGAGGGATTCATTCCAGGCCCTCCCTGAGGCGCCCGGGAACGAGGTGCCGACACCTGCTCTCGTATGTTTGAACCGGTAAATGTGCAAGTTTGAAGTGCAGGGGACCCATTAAGGCCCAGACACTGCCGGTTCGGGCCTGTTTCCGGATGACTGTGACAGGCGGTCCACCAGGAAAAGCCTGGCCAACAAGGCCAAGCCCCCTGCAGCAGGGCAGCGAGAGACACACAGCGTCTACAGGGGCAGGTCGGTCTCCGGTCAGGAGCCGTAAGAAAGGGCAATTTAGGATGGGGTGGGTACGTCATCAGAAATATTGGTGAATTAATGATTTGAGGAATTAAAAAAGGCGTCCGAGGCGGCGTGGCCCTGAAGAGAACTGTCCTCTTGCAGGCGATCGTGAGGAGCATGGGCTGGAACCTGCTGGGCCCGCTGGTGCAGGTCATCTTGCAGAAGGATGAGAAGAGCCTCCAGCACTGCCTGAGCATCTTCGCCCACCTGCTGGACGTGAGTGTGGCTGACATTAGACCTGCAGGAGCGAAACCTCCACTCTGGAGCTTTTTTCAGTCGCAGACCTCCCCCTT